AGCCGAGCAGCGTGTGCTACTTCTAGTTGAGCGTCATTTCAGATTAAGCACTGCCTTATATCGAGCATCAGTTCAAGACAGTATCTAGTTACTTCGGCCCACACATGGACTGAATTTCAAGTCTCCATCCAAAAGACTCTCTTGACTGAAGACTTGGGGGACTACTGTTTATACCATATTTAGGGCCTCCGTATTTAGACCTCGTATAAATACTCAGGGGACTCAAATGTAATTATGCAATAAGGGAAGGGGCAAATATGTAATAAGTGAGGAGTCCTTATTCTATAAAAGGACTCCTCATCCTCACAATTGGGAGAGGCCATTCCCAAGCTTCCTCACACCCCCTAAGCTCTAAGCTCTCTCTCTCCCTCTTCAACAGAGAAATACAATACAATCAGTGTGGACGTAGCCCAAACCTTGGGGTGAACCACGATACATCTTGTGTTATTTACATTACTTGCAGATTCACGGTCGGATTTACGTTGTACCAAGACATCCGGTTTTGTGCATCAACACATGTTCTTTGTGTTTTGTGGCTATATTAATGAGATGGAAAAAATCATATTAAAATTCTATAATTGCTAGTCAAGTGAATTTGGAAAATGTTTTGATTGTCATTGATCGCTTGCTCTAATTATTATGTCATTTGTCTGTTGGCATATTAAGAGTTGTTACATGTGCAACTGGATTATGTAGTACATTTCTATCATTTAAATTTTATGCAGGATGATAAAAGAGAGAGGAATTGCATTCATAAGAGCTTTGCCCTTATCCTCCCATTAGTCACGTGACCATTTATAAGACAATGAGAAGGAAAACCTTATTGTTTCTAGCGTAACAGTTCCGAGAAGAGAAAGATCCAGCAAGTGAGATCAATCTTTCAGGCTCAAGCCATAGATGCTATACCTGGACCAATCATTGGCTTCACTGAGCAGGACGCTGAGGGAGTAGACTTTCCCCATGACGATGCCTTGGTGATTTCTGTTAAACTGGCCCACACCATCATTGACAAAATTATGGTGGACAACAACAACTCATTCAATATTTTACAATTGTTAGTCATCCAGAAGATAGGCTTGGAATGTAGAGGTCTTCACTTGATTCAATAGACTTACCTCAACTACCATTGGCATAATGACGCTTAACGTAACTAGCCCTCCATATTATCTTATCGCAGACCTTCATGATCGTCAGCGACCCATCTCCCCACGGGATTTTGGGCCTACCTAGGCTAGTGAAGATTGCAGCTGTGACCTCGATCGAGTATTAGAAAATTTGATTTCACATCCAGAGGAGTAGTCGGAGATTAAAGGTGACCAAGCCATGTCTTGGTAATATACTATGCAAGTTTTCAAGGAGACGAAGAAGAAGTTTGTTGCCCCAGAAGTAGCAGTAGAAGTGCAGAAAGACGATTATACCTCCACCAAGTAGTAATCATAGTAGACAAATCAAAAAGATGGCGTCAAGGTCAACAATGCCCTGGCAGATGAGGGAAACCTGAAGAGGACACATAATACATCATATTTTACCCCCACCAACCAAATAAGATGACTAGGATTGGCTCACGATGAAGCTTGATTGAGAAAGAGGAACCCATGGCTTTCCTCAAGGAAAATCATGACGTTTTCGCATGGTCACCCTCTAACATGCTCAACATTGATCCAACAATACCTCGTTACAAGCTACATGTCGATCTTTCTGCCAAACCTATGATCTAGGAAATGTGACATTTCATAACCAAGCGAGTAGTGATATTAAGACAGAGATCAACAAGCTATTAAAGGCCGAATTCATTGAAGAAGTGGTGCACTCAGCATGGCTAGCCAATGTCATGCTGGTGATGAAAGAGAAGGGCAAATAAAGAGTATGCGTGGATTACACCAACCTTAAAGACAACGATATGGTTCCCTGAATTGACCTACTCGGTGACTTAACATCTGGGAACTAGCTGCTCAGCTTTTTGGATGCGTACTTAGGCTATAATCAAATTGCCATGCATGAGAGCCTAACAAGGAGAAAACTGCATTTGTGATCAAGCGAGGCACATTCTACTACAAGGTCATGCCCTTTGGCCTCAAGAATGCAGGAGCAACTACCAACGTCTCATAAACACGATGTTCAAGAATTCACCCGAACCTGAAAAACGTAGCAACTCAGCCGAGAAATGCCCTAGAGGCAGGTGAGCACACTGTGTTGGAAATGTGCCCTAAAAGTATCCGGCATGCTTTGAGCAATGTTCTGAAGATCTATAATTCGACGCACCTCAGTTTCAAACTGGGTAGTGTGGAGATCTAAATGAGACATAGTGGGAGCATGCCACGACAATTCATGGCGTTCTACGGGAATGTTAGCATGCTTCTCCCCCTAACGACAGGAAGACTGTCTCATCAAAGTGACAATCCGCAAAACGTGCGGTAAAGAGATCTCCTGTCAAGGGTTCTAAGTAGCGAACAATTGATGGCGAATCATAACCAACATAGATTCCCATTTTTCTTTGAGGACCCATTTTGGTACATAGCGGCGGCGCTATTGTCACATAAATGGCTCACCCAAACACCCGTAAATGAGAGACGTCAGGCTCGTATCCAGTGACCAACTGTAACGGTGAATGTGGTTGGGTAGCGGTAGGCCTTAGGCGGACCAACATAGTTGCATGCAATATTGCATAGCCCCAGGCAGATACTGGCAGTTTGGTTCGCATAACCAAAGTCTGAGCTATCAATTGAAGGCGCTTTATGAAAGCTTCTGCCAGGCCGTTTTAGGTGTGAACATGGGGTACAAGATGTTCCATATTTATCCCTACTGACATGCAATAATTGTCAAAAGTCTGTGACGTAAACTCTCTAGCATTATCCAATCAAATCGACTTGATCGGATAATGAGGGTGGTGAGCCGTTAGCATAATGATTTGAGCTAGGAGTTTAGCAAACACAACGTTGCGAGTGGACAACAAGCAAACATGTGACCATCTTGTCGATGCATCAACCAACACCATAAAGTATCTAAATGGTCCGCAGGTTGGTTGGATTGGTCCACAAATGTCCCCTTGAATCCTCTGAAGAAATTTAGGGGGGGTCGTGAATAATCTTTGTATATGAGGGTTGAGTATTCAACTTCCCTAAAGAACACACTTTGCATGATGGGAGTCCAACATAGGGATGTAACTTATGCCCGTGTGAAGATTTGAGGATACGGCGCATCATGTCACATCCAGGATGTCCTAAACGATCATGGGTTGTACTAGCCTCGCTTGTTGTCGACGTAAAGCAAGGCTATATGTCAAAAAAGTGATCTTCAGGTCAATAATTTTGGATTCATTATTGAATCGTTAATGTCCAAAAGTAATCTTCAGGTCAATAATTTTGGATTCATTATCAGATTAATGGACTGCAGGTCACTTTTAATTAATTCAATAAATGGGGCCATACGGGGTCGATTGTAGAAGCAAAATAATATTAACATACGGGTTAAATTATTTTAAAATGCTAAAATAATAGCATTTGGTCAAAAAATATGCCCCAGAAAATAATTTGGGCATGGGTGGGTGTCTTAAGCATAAGACACGGCACAAGAGATTAAGGGGTGGGCTACAGGCCACACAGGGAGGGTGAGAAACCCTCAGCCAAAGCTGGGTTTCATATATGGGCCAAGGGGGGGGCCACGATGCAGGTCCAGCAAGGTTGGCTTGTTTGTTGTTGCACATAGAAGCCCAGCCGCAAGGCTAGCGTCACTGTGCAGGCCGCAGGGACCAATGCCCAATCATGTGGGCTGGTTGCATGGCTACGGACCATGGTGCAGGGATAAAGGCTGCAGATCCATCCATTAGGACCCCAGGCCGAGGCCTGGTATCAATTTTGCATAATGATGGTGCGGTGGTATGTTGCACCATGTCCTGATTCCCTTTTTTTTTTTTGTCAAATCCTTTATGGTTTAGGAAAACCCTAAACGTGCTTCTAATTTAATTTTATGCTTTGACTCACAAATTCCACATAACAATTTAATTGTGCGATGCATGAAATAAATAAATAAATTGACAAATATATGAACATATATAATATATATATCGAAAGGAAAATATAAACATAAAGGGATTCATCCATCATGGGAAATGTTTTCATGCTTCATGGACGTTGCAAATATCTTCTTTTATTTTAATCGTACCTGATTAGCAGCAAACGAATAAGCCTTTGAATTTGATGGATGATAGCCTCCTCCAACGATGCGTCAATTCCTTAGCTTCTAGTAAGAGCGTGCTGATAATGTGTTGTAGGCCTATTTGATTGAGCGATCTAGGGTTAGAGAGAGAGAGGGGTGCGGCAAGCTTTAGGGAGAAGAGAGATTGATTTAATTGTGAGGTGTGTTTGATTCACCCCATTGTGCCTTTATTTATAGTAGTAGGAAGGGTAAAACTTTTCCCTTTAGGATTACAACATTTAATAGGTAATCTAGTCTTAATAGGAATATAAGATACAATCCCATATTCCCTAGGATTTACACAATCACATTCCTATTCTAAATATGACTGCAACAGTATAGATGAAATTAATAATTTTTAATAAATTTAGGGACTTATTTTATAGAAAAATAATTTAGCGACCTAATTTTCACAGGTGATAATGAGAAACTAAATTGGCACTTCACTCTTTTCTTAGTATGCATATCTATATATCTTTTCATCTATTAATTATTTATTAATTTTATTGAATTCAAAATGAGATAAAAATGTCTAGTGGTATTCCTCTCCATTTGTAAGTGAGAGATTTTAGGTTCAATTCTTTCCAAATGCGAATTTGAACCACATTATTGCTAGCATATTATAAGGTTAAGCCCAACCCTGCTCCTTAGTATAGGTAATATCAATTGTTTCAAAAAATAAAAAATAAAAAATAAAATAAAAAAAGTTGAAGAAAAGAAAAATGATTTGTTGTAATCACTTCCCTAAATAAAAAAACAAACATTTGGCGGACCCCAACTCTCAGGCTTCTGTGGTGCTCTCCACTCTCCACATTACTGAGGTTGCCCCTTTTTACTCAGCAACCAACCCTAATTCCCAATTAGGTGTTCCGTATTCCTAATTCCCAATATTGTGGGTTGGTTCAATATTGTGGGTTGGTTGGTTCCAAGTGAAGTGATTTGACCTGAACAAGAAGAAGTTGCATGGTGAGGGACATGAGATGGCTTTCTTCTTTAGCTTCTAGGGCACATGCTGCTGTTGCACTCCGAATCCTCCCCCTCCCCGACCAAGCCCCCTACAGTCTCAGTCAAATTCAGACAGAAAATGCTTCATTTGAAAACAAACCCAGAATTAGAAAAGCTTCTGCTCCTCGCAACATTCGATTTGGCGCTTCCCGTCCTCCCAAACCTAAAGGTAATTCTTCTTGTACGCCCAATCCTAATCCTAATTTGGTTTCCATTTCAAACATTCCCATTTCAGCTGGTAATGCCCATCACAACCATAAACCAATTGATCACTCATACATTGTCCAAATTCTTTCACGGAAGGACTGGTTTTTATTGCTCGCCCACGAGTTGAAGGCCCAGAGGATCGTTTTGAATCCTCAGTTTGTTGCTAGTGTCTTGCAAAACCAAGAAAACCCATCACTCTCTTTGAAGTTTTACTTATGGGTTTCGAGTAACGACCCCTTGTTGTCAAAGAATCAATCCGTTCGCGGTATCTTAGCCAACACCCTTTACCGGAGAGGCCCCGTTGTGTTGTCTGTTGAATTGCTAAATGATATTAAGAATTCTGGTTTAATGGTCCCTGAAGACTTGCTTTGCATATTGATCGGCAGTTGGGGGAGGTTGGGTTTGTCAAAATATTGTGCTGAGGTTTCTGGGCAAATTTCATTTTTGGGTCTCCGTCTTAGCACAAGGTTGTATAATGCCGTGATCAATGCGTTGGTCAAGTCCAATTCACTTGACTTGGCTTATTTGAAATTCCAACAGATGCCAGCAGATAACTGTGGTCCCGATAGATTCACTTACAATATCCTCATTTATGGAGTCTGCAAGATTGGTATTGTGGATGAGGCACTTCGCTTAGTTAAACAAATGGAGGGCTTGGGATATTTTCCCAATGTTTGGACGTATACAATCCTCATTGATGGGTTTTGTAATACAAAGAGGGTTGGCGAAGCCTTCTGGGTTTTGGAGATAATGAGGGAGACGAATGTGACTCCTAATGAAGCTACTATCAGATCATTAGTTCATGGTGTGTTTCGTTCCACGGCCCCCAGTGAAGCTTTTGAGTTGTTATTGAGTTTTGTTGAAAGGGAGTCTGTATTGTTCAAGGTCGCCTGTGATACCGTACTGTATTGCCTTTCGAATCGTTGTATGGCAAAAGAGATTGTTTCGTTTTTGAAGAAGAGTGATGCAAAAGGTTATTTGCCTGAGAGTTCAACATTCAACATCATAATGGTTTGTTTGATAAAGGAATTAGCTCCTTTTCGGAATCAGAACGAGGTTCATGATATATTTCAAAGTTTTATACGGCGTGGTGTGAAACCGGGATTTAGCACTTATCTTGCATTGATTGAAGCCATGTACAAGGCAGGAAAAGCTGGTCACGGGAATCAAATCTTTGATCAAATGATCAAAGAGGGACTTGTATCAGATGTCTTCTCATATAACATGGTAATTGATTGCTTATGCAAAGCCCAAATGTTGGACAGGGCATCAAAGGTTTTTGAAGATATGCAGTGCAAAGGTATCCCTCCTAACCTTGTTACTTTCAATACACTTCTTACCGGATATAGCAAGGCTGGAGAAGTAGGTAAGGCACATGAACTATTGGCAATGCTCTTGGAACAGGGGATTAAACCCGATAAGTTCACTTTTAGTTCACTAATTGATGGCCTTTGTCGGGCGAACCGGATAGATGATGCTTTTGACTGTTTTGCTGAGATGGTTAGGTGGAGGGTCACTCCAAATTCCATCACATACAACATACTGATACGCTCTCTGTGTTTCGTTGGAGACATTTCTAGAGCGGTGAGAGCAATGAAGAAAATGCAGGCGAATGGAATAAAACCAGATGCTTACTCGTTTAATGCTCTTATTCAAGGTCTTTGTAGGATGAACAAGGTTGAGAAAGCTGAGGAACTTTTTCTTGCCATGTTGACATTAGGTTTGAATCCTGACGATTACACATGCAGTGCTTTTATCAAGGCATTGTGCGATTCAGGAAAACTTGATGCAGCAAAGGAGATATTGCTCTCTATGGAAGCATCTGGTTGTTTTCCGGATTCTTCTATTTGTAACAAGATTTTAGATTCGCTGGTCCAGAGTGGCCATGTTGAAGAGGCCTGTAATATAGTAAAGAGTTTTAACAGGAGGAAATAAATTTCACAGGATTTGGGCTATCACCTGTCTGCATGTTGATGTGTTCGCTCAAAAGACAGGTCAATCAGTAGCACACGAGGTGATGATTCACGGGATGCACTTCTGGGTGAACTGCGTGTTGATGTGTTGGCTCAGAAGACAGGTCGATCAGTAGCACACGAGGGTGATGATTTGTGGGATGCACTTCTGGATGAACTGCATCCTGGGTATGTATGCGCAGAATTGTCGTCCATATTAGTCTCAATTTCAAGTTCCATGAATGAGGCAAACTCGTTGACACGTTATTCTAAAATCAATTTGTTGTTATTCTTTGTAACTTGAATTATGATAACATGATCTACTTTGTTTGATATCGTTTCACCAGTATTTCAAGTAAAGGTGAAGGGAGCTGGAAAGTCGGTCGAAGTAAGATTTTATGCCTGTCAATTGTCATCCATTGAAGGAGGTGCTAGTAGAGATGCAAAGACAATTGATGCAGCAAAAGGACGGAGCAAATAATAGTTGACAGGCCAAGCCAAAATATACGTCCAACAACTTACTGTGTCATCTCCCTTTGAGCACGGAACCTAACATGTGACATTCCGTCCTGAGATTTATTATATTTTATTCTCAACATCAATGAAATTCCTAAAATGCCCATGAGATGCCATGTAGACCTTTCATGTGGACTTCACTTTTCCTTTTAACTTTTTCACTCTTATTTTACTATTTCCAAATAACACTCATTTTTACGAACACGTGGTCACAACACTCAATTCAGAGTTATAACGAAGAAATTATGATCGAAACAGTGTAAATTTACATGAGATAAATTCAAATTCTAAAAGTTGACCTTGTGCAGTGCATCACTGCTTTGTCTGGCCTGGGAAAACAAAAAATCAGCCTTAAAAAAGGCTTAATGATAAGGGTTGGTCATGCAAGTTGCATTAAACAAATAATTATTTTGGGTTTTAGAAACCCACACTTGTTCCATCAGGCATATTCCCATCATTTTCTTTCTTTTTGGTTGGTTCCCTCACATCTCTCTAGCTCTCTCATGCCTCACTTCCTCTCTTTTTCTCGAGAAATGTTTCCAAGTATCAAGCTCATTCATTGACCTGGAGTTCCACCAATCATTATATCACATATGTATACATTTTTTATACCAGTCCATGTTCAAAGTATAAAATATATATATATATATATATATATTGAAGTTTGGGCCCCCTAGTCTCTCCTTCCTCGTATCCTCTCTCTCCCTTCTTCGGGAAACTGAAAGGCCTTTTTACTAATACAACTACAACCTTTTCTCTTCCCCACCTTCACCATCTCTATGCACACCGGCAACCAACCAATCTCCGACCAAAATCGTCACTACCACCTACATCCAAACGTCCAGCCCTACCACCGCCAAGATCACCCACTTGATGTTTGATGTTGTCCACCCACAACCACATCACACCCACCCGAAACTCCAGTCTTTATCGCCCAACTAAAATACGAATATGGTACCATCTTCTTCTTCTCTAGGATGCCCAACTCAAATATGATTTAGAAAGAGATAATTAGTGGGGCCCATTGACCTATTATGTTTTATTTTTAATTCTTTAAGCGGTGGGTAGGAGTTGTAATGTGTACAAGTGTGATATCATGATTGGTGGAATCAACAAATGAGCCAGGTACCTGGATCTCTCTCTCTATGTCAGTTCACTCAACCATAATTGTCATCATTACTCTCACACACAATGGCGGATCCAGAATTTTAAACTCGAGGGTCCCAATAACAAAGGTAACAAAATTTATTGATTAAAATAACATTTAAAAGTTAAATTATAGTACATTTTATTGATGAATCATACATAAAACAACATTACAAGCTATAAAATCTAATTCAAGCATCTACGATGAAGTTTCATAGTCTAAAAATGTTCCATTTGCAAATATACTCTTTGAACCTCAACTAGCATATGAGGAGGATAATCCTTCATTTGAATTGTTTTTCCAGGGTCTCTCTCAAGCTTATTCAAATTAATCACACTCATTTTGTCTTGAACTTGAACTACCCAAACAAATAGATCGTGCTATTGGTTTTGGCTTGAAAAATCTTTCCATATTTCTTATCTATACACTACATATTAATAAAAAAACACAAAATCATATACCAATTAATCAATAAACAAAATTCCAATAATTAAATGAGTATACAAAAATAAAACATATCAATAATCATATCAATAATTGTCACAGCCCGTCCCAAATTATTACTATCGACGATGTAAAATGACGGTTTCATCCTTGGACGTTGAAATTGTAGTGTGTGTGTTATGCTTTGGGACTTAGATGTTATTTTCTTTGGTTGGTTGGTGACCCACGTGGAACACACATACACACTTTTACTCTCTCTCTCTCTCTCTCCTTCCCGTGCACTCTCTCTCTCTCCTCCCTTTCGATTTTCTCCTGTTTCCGTCAACATTTTACGGACGAGCGTCAAGTTCACCATTCACGCACGGATCAACGTTAAAAAGGTAAGGTTCTTGTTCCCTACAAGCTCCTGAGTCCATTCGTACCATTTTTAGGACCTGAAAACCTCAAAAACCCTGAGAACTCTAACCTCCAATTTGGTGCATTATTCATGCACACGTAAATATGAAGGTTTCAGTGGATTTTAAGCTCACAGGGAGCTTTAGAAGGCCCTCACGAAGCTCGGAGAAGAAAAACCAAGCGATTTGGAAGTCGGGATCGTCAGTTTCAAGTTTGGCCAGTTTTCCTCAAATTTCTCCAGCGAGATTCCGTGATCTTTGGGGCTTTAAACAGGTAAGGAAATGTTCTACAAGTTAAGAGCTTCAATTTGGTACTGGTTTCATGAATTTTGGTTGAAAAACGAGTGAGATATCAAGGTTTAAAGAAATTCCCAGTTTTCGGCGTTGGCAACGATCGTCGAAGTTCTGAGGTTAGGGATGACAGAATATTCCGTCAACTTTGACAGAATATTCCTAACGGCGTTGGTTAGTTTTAATGGTTTCCGTTACTTTTAACGGAATATTCCTAACGGCGTCATTGTTACCGTCAGTGTGCCTGGCATGTGCCCGCGCGTGGGTGGTCGGAAAATTTTTCTAAAAATATGGGGATGTTCGTGGGGTTCTGTAGATCACGTTGGTATATTCAAACATCCCATTTGAGCATTGTATGAGAAGTTATTAGCTAGTTTTGTCTATGTGCTTTAAATAACGTTTTTATAGTTATTTCGCATATAAGGGAGGCCTATCCAGAGGACGAGCGCAGTCAAGGGCGACTCGGGGGCTACGACACTTCGACATACCAGTGAGTGGGCTTTTGGTTTTCATTATATATTTAAATACTTGATATTTTCCCAAAAAATGCGTTTAAATGAAAGTATGCTTTGAATGCCATGCATCTAAATTTATATTTCATATATGAATTAGTATATGATGCATATATATTATTGTGGTGCTGTGGACGCTCACGTAAGCCCAGGTGAGTTATGAATTGTGAATGTGATTAAGGTGATGATTAATTGAGAAGCTTTGAGCTCATAAACCTGCACCTAGGGTGTTAATGATAAACCAGAGATATAACACAGACCTGTTATTATAATGTCACCTCCTGCACCATATGCTCATATTGGATCCAATTTAGGTGCACAGTCCTGTTGTACAGACCATCATAGGTGGTTTCGACTCGTAGGTGACTAGCGATTTATCGCCCAGCTATCATGAGAGAGTAGTATCGAGCATAATTATATTACACCCAGTATTGTCGTATAGACCCCTTTTTAGTGGTTCTGACTTATGTGCAGTGTAGTGCCATATAGGTCATAGTAGTGACTCCGGTTAGATTGACTAATGAGCTATGAATTCAGTCGTACAGATTTATGCAGAGGTTCCGGCTAATATGTTATTTTCCATGAAGTTATTCTCACCTGAATTACTTACTCTGTTATATCTTAGCATGGCATACTAATGATTATGAATATGTGAAGCATGAATTGAATTGATATATTTACGTATATATATATTTATGCATATGATTATATTCTATTTATGGGAAAAATTACACATGTTTTACAGCGAGGGGTTAGAACTGTTGAGAAATGAAATGGTTTTGTAAAACATTTGTTTTTGCCCACTCACGTTTTCTGGTTTGCGCCCCTTCAGATTTTGGGTAGACTGCTGTTAGTGGTGTACAAGGATTCCGGCGGTTCTGACATATATAAATAATTGTAGGACATCTTATGGTACTGTATAATTAGTACTCGTCCTACTGGACTGCACCTAGACTTTCTATGCTCTGATTAGGAGTATTTACACTTGTATCTCACTCTTAACACTTCCTGTTTATTAGTGCACATTAGTAGCTTTCAGTTTTTGTTTATTCGTATAACTCTTATCTTTATCGCTTCTGCACTGTGCACATGGCAACGTCACCCTCATGTAACGGCCAGCATGCCTTGATCTCGGCCGGGATGTGTCAATAATAGATTATAAAATCTCCATCAATATATAATATAATTTAGTTGAGATTGGATTAGAATACCAAAAAATCTTATTTGAATTTTGAACCAAATGGTGGTGGTGTGGAGATTTAAAACAAATTGAGATATGATATTAGAGTAAAATTAAAATATGAGATTGGGTGGGATTTTAGGATTATGAGAATAGGGAAATTGAGGATTGGATATGTGAAAATTGGGGGTTTCAGGTTTTGGATGGGGGAAGGGATGGTAAGGTATGGGGATTCAAGAAGAGTGACGGAGGCCTTGGGGAATTAAAACAAAATGGAAGAAAACGGCAGCGTTTTGCTGTTGTTTAAACTTAAAAAAAAAAAAAAAAAAACGACTTTTGGCCAAACGTGCGTTTTGGGCCAAGGTTGAAATGGGCAAATTTTCTTTCTTCCTCTACGCGGTCTTCTTCCCCATCATGACACCATTGCTGAAACTGCACAGAGTTCGTCTGAGTACGAGGGGTCCCCGAAAAATTTCAAGCAACCATTCAGGTGTCTTCGAGGGGTCCTGGGACCTTCCAGGTCCCTATGTGGATCCGCCACTGCTCACACACCCTCCCACATTAACCTTCATGTCACCCTCTCTCCTTCCACTCAATTTATTTAACCTCACATCTCACATCTCTCCCTCACCTCTCAAACTCTCTATCCCGTAGCTCTCACTTCACTTTCTCCTTCTCGGCAAAACCGAGAATCACCACTTCACCACCTCTGAACGTTGCCAAAAACAAATTCATAAACTCACACAAAATTTACTAATGGTCTCTAGAGCTCATCCTTATACTCGAGGTCGTGAATATGCAAGGAGGAATCTCCACAATTGCCGATGGAATCATTACTCCTCCGACCACGATAAGCTTGGGATTTTCACCATTAAACTCTCACTTGAGTTCCCAGTGCATTTTACTAGCATGCATGTATGTTTCTATTGTTTAAAGGATGAATATCTAACCCACCATGTTTTCCGGCTAGTTGTAGGATTTTTCCAAGCTAAACCCAGCTAAACTTTGTTGACCTAGCCGTGTTTGAAGGTGTATGACGATTTCCCAGAATCCCTAGATTACGGATTTAAGCTTGCATGTTCGAAACCCACTATGTCTAGAAAGTCCCGAATATGGCAGTGGCTTTTAAGCCAATTTCTCGTCACCTCCGACCAAGTTTTGATCCCAAAATGGTATAAAAACGTTCTCCTCA